TTGAAAGAAGTTGCATTAGCCCAAATCTTCTTAGATTTTGTGAAACACGATCAGAAAGGAGTGTTGAAGTGTTTAGGGGCAAAAATTTGCACCCCCCCCCCTCACAGACCGTGACAGAGAAATTCCATATCCATCACAAACCGTGACAGAGAAACTCCAATACCCATCACAGACCGTGACAGACAACCTCCGGACCCATCACAGACCATGACAGAAGAACTCCAGGACCCATCAGAGACCGTGACAGAGAAGCTCCAGGACCCATCAGAGACCGTGACAGGGAACTCCCAGAGACCATCATAGACTGTGACAGAGAAACTGTAGTTTTGAAGCATCAAATAAACGGTAAGCTACAAATCTATCTTGAAGAAATGGAACAAAACGATGTCCATCTAATTAATTACGATAGATCCATAGTGTTTCACATTTTTAATCCCGCAAGGGATTGCGCTAACAGCTTTTTTTCTGAGAATAAGGTCTCCTACATTTATACAAGCATGATGTACAAGTGTTGATAGTTGATGAACTTAAAGGTAATCTGAATAGTAAATTCAACTAACTCTACAAACGGTTCTTCCACGTCGTTGCAATGATTTTCAGAACGTCGATCTGATGAAAGCTTTATTCTTTGCAGTAAATATTACCAGTGTTAACTTCGAATAAAAATACATTGCTAACGTCAAATATTATATTTCTTTTTCTATCATATAACTCGTCCGAGTGTTATTCTCTATGCTAGAATAAAACAAATTTTTTTTTGGTTGTGTGAAATGATTTAGTAGAAGCTGAAAAAAGGCACAAAAAATATGGAACGCTTCACGATTTTGCGTGTCATCCTTGCGCAGGGGCCATGCTAATCTTCTCTGTATCGTTCCAATTTTATTATATGTCCACAGAGTGTTACCCACTCTGCCAGACAATATTGAGTCTATCGTTTTCTCTTATATATTGAATCAAGAAAAAAAGAAACAGAACGGTGAATTAGTCTAGAATGAAAAATTTCAACCATAAGAAATGTATGACATCTATATGTCGTATC